ACACCCCCAACCCCTCAAAAGCCCCAAGCAAAGGAACAAGACAAAACTGAACCAAGTACAGGCACGTCCTCTTAAATTTCACATCATATCACATAATTTCTGTATTCAGTATCGACCTTCTCAATCATCTATGGTAACTGGAGCCGTTTATGGTGGTTAATTGTGAACTTCATCGTGACAGTCTTCCCTGGCCTTACAGGTTATCTGTAAACTTTTGTACTGACTGTCTTATCCCAGACCTGTAAACGTTTATATTGACCGTCTTATGACTCACCTGTAAGCGTTTGTACTGACAATCTCGTAACTCACATGTAAGTGTTTGTACTGACCATGTCGTGACTCACATGTAAGCGTTTGTACTGACCATGTCGTGACTCACCTGTAAGCGTTTGTACTGACAGTCTTATGACTCACCTGTAAGCGTTTGTACTAACCGTCTGGGCACTTATATGACCTTGTGCAGTTGTGAGAGCCGTAAAACTCTATTAAAACTAAGACAAACTGACCGTCTTATGACTCACCTGTAAATGTTTGTACTGACCATCTCATGACTCACCTGTAAGCGTTTGTACTGAGCCTCGAGAGCGGCGTGCTCTGGGGAGGAAGGCACGGCGTCTCCCACAAAGATGAGTGAGTTCCTCTTGGTCTCCGCGGCTATCATCTCGTCTTCTGCCCCGGGCTGAATGCTGACTGCGTCATCAGAGCTGCTCGTGTTGTGCTGGGAAGTGGAACAAAGACAGAGAGCGGTAACATAACTGCCTCCTTTTCTTTTCCCCATATCACTGTTCGTGGTCACTTAAAATAACACCAGATCACGGTGAAAGAGGTGCTAGAAGGAAAAATGTGGGACAGGAGAGCCAGGGCTAGACAAAGAGTAACATGGATGCACAACATTAGGACCTAAAGATATCGCCTGGCCTGGGTATGGCAGAATGTGAAAATACAGCAACAGCTCGTGGCCGTGAAAGATGGAGGGTCGTTACACGTCAACCTCTGAGTCAGAGATGACACGATACGCTTTCAGGTATTCCATATAATAATACTTTATGTATATGTTGCTTCAAATATATTCGACGGTTTTGTGTAAGATTCCAGCGCGGGGGAAGGGACTATGGTCAAGGACAGAAGTACGTGGAGAGCCCTTGTTGGTGGCCTTTAGTCCGGTACAGCTGAGAAAACATGGTTATACATGTATTTACAACCATTTCTTCAAACCCAACATTCTCACCAAGCTTTTCCTCTTACAGCAGAGTTGTGTTGAATAAATAATGCTCATATCTATTGAAAAAGCAAAACCGACCCCCCCCCCCCCCGGAAAAAATAGAAGCAAAACTAAAACAAGCAGCGAATGACATGAACTGATTTTTCTGTGCTATCCAGCAATCCATCTCGGGTCTGAAAAGGGACGCAAGCAAATGTTGGGCTGCTTCGTTATCAAAGATCTCGGATCAATTACAGGGTTACTCCCCCTCGTTTATAAAGATAATACATGTAATACACACATATTTTAGTGAACATTATAGCGGCGGCAAGCTGTTCAAGAAACGTTTTTAGCACAATATTTTAATTTAAAAAAACAACATTATATTGAAGTTTCTTAATCTGTGATATCGGTAGCATGTGCCTGAGAAAAAGTTTGCCAAAATGGAAATTCTAGATTTTGAAAAAACCCAATAAAAACAGCATAGATCTAGAAATATGTTGGATGTGTAAAATATATAAAGATTTCGACTGGAAACCCATTTTGATTATTTTTTCCAACTTCAGTCCTCTATTCTTGAAAGGAACATTATCTTTTCACACACACACACACACACACACACACACACACACACACACACACACACACACACACACACACACACACACACACACACACAAACACACACACACACACAAAACGACATGGAAGAAAGACAAACAATCTTATTACCCACACGTGTCAATACAATGGAAAAAAATCAATATTTTGATAAGCGCCTGGTTTCATACGATGCCACACAAATCATCATCATCATCATCATCATCATCATCATCATCATCATCATCATCATCATCATCATCATCAAGTTCCATGTCTGCAGCAGACATCGGCGATCATGGTTCTCCATTCATTTTTTTGCTCGAATGCTCTTATTAAACAGCTACGTGCCCTGATCTTTCCCCCATTACCCATCTGTTTAGGTTCTCTACGTAGGTTGCTCTGGGCCTACCCCTGCCTCGTTAGCCTTCAATTTTGCCAGTGAGATCTAGATGTTCAAGACCTTTATGTCTATTCAGGTGTCCCTAAAACTGCATTTAATTTTTCTTTTCCCGATTGTTTCTATCAGTGAGCGTCCCACGTGGGCTTCACAAGTACTGCCCCATACAAACAGGCTTTAAGCTGCTGTCTTTCAGCCACACCGTTGATCTTCCAGTAGGAAAGATCTACACCTAGCCTTCTCGGACAAGGGAAAAAAATCTCGGAGATCCCGTGAGCAAAATGTGCACATTAAAGATCCCTTGGTGGTCTAAAATCGATAAGAGTAGGTTTCGGCCTCTATCTGGGCAAAAATTCAAAATTCCCCTCCAACTGGAAATATTTAATGTGTCCCGCGCGCTCATATTATGACCAAATGCAGTTGCGAGCGCCGAAAAACACTAACCAATCCCCCCCCCCCCCCCAAAAACAACAACAAAAAAACAACAACAACAACAACAACAAAAAAAACCCCCAAAAAACCAAAACAGCAACAACAAACAAACAAAACCAAAAAACACCCAAAACCAACAAAAAAACAACACAACAAAAACAAAAAAACAAAACAAACAACAACAAAAAACCAAACAAACCGAAAAGCCACAGGCTAGCCTAAGGGCGAAAACATAGAGAACGCCGATTTCGGAGACTGACTCAGTAAGCGCCGATAGGTATAAAAATTCCCTTATGATTTCTAACTTGCCCCACATAGAGCTGGCCGACTGCAGGCGGCTTTAAACTCGGATCGGAGTTGTCGGCTTTATCGGAATCCAAACTACATTCTTATTACGCCGAAAAAGTGGGAAGGGCGTCTCGCTGTCAACTCGCGACCGCAGTGCTTTCTTGTCGTATTTCCATTTTTTAAACAGTGAAAATGAGACTTCTTCTTTAACTCACTCTTTGTTATGAACTGTTTTCACTGTTATTAAAAATAGATGTACGACAAGAAAGCACCGAGGTCGCGAATTCCCAATGCCGTCTCGCCGTCGCCAACTCGGGTTCAGCGGTTTGTGTGACGTCACCTGACTGGACTGGGGACAATTTTAAATGGTCATTTCAGAGCTGGTGCTTCACGGTAGACAAAAACTAATTACATTTTTGAAATCAGCATCGTCAAAATAGGGTGGTCACCGAGCAGAATTACATTTTAAGCAATATTTAAGAAAAATAGTGTTTTTTCCTCAAAAAAGTATGCTTCATCAATACCAGCTGTGTTGTGGTGTAATTATTTTTTTTTCTTCTTAGATCTAGATATCTAGGCTTTACTGTGTCAGTAGAGTGTGTGATTTTGAAGAGACGAGGCCTGTGTAGTTTTCCGTTGTGCGTCTAGAGATCTACTTATCTGGCTGTGTCGTGTCTTGTCAAAATGGATGTCGAATTACAACAATAATAATAATAATAATAATAATAATAATAATAATAATAATAATAATAATAATGAAGATCATTTCTATAGCGCCCACTCCCGTGTAAACACAGCTCTAGGCGCTTTACAAAAATACATGTACTAACAATATTTACGCACGCGACACAAACACAAAAATACTCACACTCCTACACACACGCAAACACACACACATACACACACACACAAACACACAAACACACATACACACTCACAAACACATAGCAGTAACACGCACACATGTGCACACACATGTACGCCAAACACACACACACACACACACACACACACACACACACACACACATACACACACACACACACACACAAACACACACACACACACACACACAAACCTACGCACGCACACATCTACTTGCTTATCACACGCGCACGCTTTCACATCGTCACGAAATGAGCATAAAATAATCTACACAATGCAATTCACAAAATACATAAATGGATACATAGTCATTTACATAACATTGTATTGAACATGAATCTACAGACCAAAAAAAAGATGTCATTAAATGTGTCTTTAAATATTTTTAAAAGTTTAGACTCAGATGTTGTATGTCTCAAGGGTTGGGAAAGAGAGTTCCAAACTGACGGAACAAAGGTGGGCGAATGATCTTTCAGCTAATTTTTTACCCCCTTTTCTAGGAACTCTTAAAAGATACTGATCGTCTGATCTTAGTGATCTAGATGGAACATAAATCAGGATGAGATCATTAAGATATGAGGGAGCTTTGTTATTGTCACATTTATGACATAATATTGCAATTTTATACGACATTCTAGCTGACACGGGAAGATAATCTCTCTCCTAGCTCTCTCTCTCCCTCCCTCCCTCTGTCTCTCTCCTTCTCCCTCTCCCTCCCTCTCCCTCTCACCCTCTCTCTCTCCCTCCTCCCTCTTTCTCTCCCTCCCTCCCTCCCTCTCTCCCTCCCCCTCTCTCTCCCTCCATCCCTCCCTCTCCCCCTCTTTCCCTCTCTCTCTTCATCTCTCTCCCCCTATCTCCCCTCTCTCTCTCCCTCTCCCTCTAAGAAAATAAATTCCATATTTTTAGACAACAAACATCCCTTGTTCCCTCAAATAAAAACAATAGTCAGAAATAAAAGACCTATGCTTCTGATCTGTAACAAAGAAAGATACAGAAGGTCATTTTTACCATCATCTATCAAAATGCTTCCATCTTAACCATCTTGTATAAGTAACCTTACGACCTTAGAGCATGCATCAAAATAACATTGAGTGTGTATCTAGCTTACGATTATTATTGTTTATATTGCTGCTCATTTATATTATGCATGTGATTGTAAGCCTACCTGTGTGTGCATGTGTGTGCACGTGTGTACGTGTGTGTGTTTGTGTGTGTGTGTGTGTGTGTGTGTGTGTGTGTGCGCGCGTGTGTGTGTGTGTGTGTGTGTGTACGTGTGTGTGTGTACTCGTGGTGGAACACCAAACCAATGTGCCAGGATCTGGACAATAAAGATGTATCTTATCTGATCTTATCTTATCTTATCTTATCTTATCTTATCTCCTCCTCTCCCTCTCCCCCTCTCGGATGACGGGTCAATTCTTGTCAATTTGTAATCACTCAAGACCTACAACTAGATTCTAGATACGATAGATGTAGGCAGACTAGACAACAGTAGATCAATGCAACGCGAGCTTAAAGGGATCGGCAATAGGCGCCCTCTATGTGGAGTCAAGCAGACACCGACTGGGGCCTGTCGGCGTCGATTTTCAGCCGCTTAAGTTTCGGCGTTCTTTATGTTATCGCCCTAAGGCTTCTGTACCTGGTAGGTGCTGTCCCTGAAGCTGGCAGACGACAAGCGGGAGGATCGCGCCCTCTGGCGGAGAAGCTGGTTCTCCTTACGGAGTTGTCGGTTTTCTTCTTCGGCTGCCTACGGAACAGAGACCAGTGTAGTCAGTTGTTGATATTGTTGTTGTTATTGTTGTTATTGTTGTTGTTGTTGATGTTGTTTTTGTTGTTGTCGTTGCTGTTGTTGTTGTATTGTTGTTTTGCTTCAATAACAGTTTTACAGCATTTGCAACACAATAAGGTCATGTAAGTGCTGAAGATTAGGAGTCATGTTAATAGAAAGTAACAAACAAACACAAAAAAGAAGAAGAAGAGAAATAGAGATAAGGATGATATATGTTTTATATTTAACAAGAACGAAGGCGCAAACCACACCAGAGCACCTGCCAACCACTCACATATTGTCGTCAATTTGAGAAATTCCATCCCTACGATGTGTGTGTGTGTGTGGTTGGGGGGGGGGGGGGCAATATTATGGCGTTATAGAAAAAAATCCAGAGACTTGTACCGGACAAAATGCCGTGGAATCCGCTTAAATCAAAATCTGCGGAGCTGCCGGATTGTCTCCGGTTTAGCTGTGTTATCCGTTTAGAGATGTAGCTAAAACAGAAGAAATAAAAGTTGGGGGATTATATTTTCTTTCGATTTACCGCCGTTTTCGGATTAACTGAGTTTGGTTTAACGGGATTCCACTGCTTCATAATATTCGAGACTGTGCACTCTGACGCATTTCCGGTTCACTGTGGGGGTGCACAATAATTGACGAAATGTGAACCAAATGAAGGGTGAGAGGGGAATGTGAAGTCCGCGCTTGACTATATCGAGACTGGCGTTTTGTCCTTTTTGTGAAAGTAATGGAGTAGCAGAAATGTTGTTTCTTAGGAGACTGCTGAGAATTTCGTGGAAGGAAAAGAAATCAAATGAGGGAGTGCTTGATGAAGCGAACACGGAACGCTCACTGTTAACAACAATCAGGAAAAAACAAATGCAGTTTTTGGGACATCTGAAGAGACATAAAGGTCTTGAACATCTAACTCTCACAGGCAAAACTGAAGGCAAACGAGGTAGGGGTAGGCCAGAGCAACCTACTTAGGGAACCTAAACAAATGGGTAACGGAGATCGATCAGGGAAACGTAGCTTTTTTAAGAGCATCCGAGCAGAGGAATGACGGGAGAACCACGATCGCCGATGTCTGCCAAAGATCTGGCACTGGGTGATGATAGATGGTGCAGCCCATGGTGTGCACATATCACGACAAAGTTTGTATAAAGAGCAAAGAACAGCAGCTATGGCTACTACTGTACAGTGCACTGCCTATGGAGTAGGGATACAAGTAATGGGAAAAACTCAGACATCGAGATATGTTTCCACAGCATGAATATTACCATATCATTCAAAAGGAGACAGGCCGAGACTCTAATTGGCTGTGCCCATAACTCAAAAGTTTTCCCTAATTTCAATACTTTTAAACTATCCAAACTCGACCAGCAGCAAAAGATTTTTACCATTGACATCTGGGCTTTGTTCTCATCATTATTTGCAAATTTAATCTTGAAAGTTCATAATTTTTCTTCAGCATCCATGAAAAACGATACACC